ATTTTTATCTTCCCTCTCCTGCGATTTGTATTTTATGATACTTATTAATAAGAGTAAGTTGTAAGTCACTTCTAAATAACAGATACATATTAACAGAGCTGGAAGGGACTCTGTAGGTGGTGATTATGGTTTGCCTTCCAGAGTCACCTTTGAAGAGATGGGCAGTTATATAAAATTGATTAATTGATTGATTGATGAAATTACAGTAGTAATATTCTTATGTGACTTCTACAATAACAACAATATGAAATCTTGCAGATAGGTTTTTTAATTCTATTTTATATTTTGGGACTTAGGAGAGAAAGTATCTCATTCTTGGCACTAACATTTTAAGGAATTTCAATATCCAAGTATGCTGTATATGAGCTCATAATTGTATCCAGAGCAAGAAAATAATGTTAATCTATAGTAAAATATAGAATAGAATAGAATAGAATAGAATAGAATAGAATAGAATTTTTCATTGGCCAAGTATGATTGGACACACAAGGAATTTGTGAAAATGTCTTCATAATGAACACTGACTGTTAGCTTTAGTTTAGAGGCATATTTTCAGAATGGGCATTGCAACAAAGTGTTTTGCTCTTCACAGTTAAGAGACCCAATTTGGTGTGCCAGTTATGAAGCTAGACTAGAGTTTTGTGTGCTTTATCCGTCTCTTTGACACAGAAGCTGACTGGGTCATTTACCATACATGATGGAGAAAATAGGAGGGAGCATTATGGACAAGCATTGTACTGTACACAATGAATGCAGCATATAGAATCAACAAATAAACCAAACATCCATACACAAGATTTTGCAAGGGAGCCTAATGGGATATTTATGCATATTTACTCAGCTGTTAAGTTTTAGTTCAAAGTTACTCTTGCTTAGTTCCAGTGGGACTTGTTGATGCTGTAATTCTATTTCTGGTTGCAATCATATGACTTATCCTCCTAGCAACATGCACTCATAACCATTTTTATGCTATCTTCTCGTGATGATAGTACCCCGCATTTCCTCCAGTTCAGAGCAGTTTAAAATAATCTTTAGCTGCAGTTGAATACAGCGTTTTTCTTTTTCTCTCAACACAGTTTTGGTTGATGTGATGGGAATCTGAGGTTGGGCCATTCAGGGGCCCAGTGACTTAATTTTATCCCATCAACCAATCCTCAGAATTCAGTTTCAATACTGACCCACAGTATTCTAGGAGGCCCTGGGATCCAGCAACTGCTTTCAATTTGGTGTGCAATAAAACCATCCTCATCTGTGATTTGATAATAGATAAACCTGGCATATATAAACAAAACCTATTTGATTCTGAAGATATTCACCAGATGCACCATCCTGCTTTTTGCATTCGGCACCAGCCACGGTGGAATGGCTGAAGAAATAGGTAGCAATTGTCATCTAGAAAGCCTTAAAGGCTTTTAGGGCCTCTGTGCCAGAAAAAAATGGATATGACACTTTATGGTTGAACTTCAGACCTAGGGAGCAGTTGGGATTATTGCTATGGTAGTAGGTCCATGCTGTGCAGTGACAACCCTGTCAGTACTGCCTTTTGCTGAATTGGTGATGGCTGAACTCATGATAGTGATAGAGAATTTCAATTTCCCTTAGGGTGGCATTGTCAGAACAGTTCAGGAGTTCATGGCAAACGTGGACCCAACCCAAATAATTCAACCTTTGATGTATGCTGAAGATCATGGGTTTTTTTTCCTCTTGGGTCAGCTGAAACATGATCTGAAAGTAGAGGATGTTAAACATCTGTTCCTTATTATTGTCAGATCACTCCCTGGTTGTTTTTGGTTAGCTGATGCTACTCTCTCTTGCAGGGACTTGAGACATGATTTATTAACTTCATCTTTTCCAAACACCTGATGAAGGATGAAGGCAGATGGCTTTCAGAGAATGCTTGGAATTTTCCCCTGTTGCTCTGTTTATCTAAAGCAGGGCTGTCAAACTCACGTCATCACTCATGGCGGTGTCACATGAGATATGGGGACTTTCCCCCCCTTCGTTACAGAAAGGATTTTGGAGGAACTGGCTTTATTGATTCTTTTCAATTGAATTTTAGACTTGGACACAGTTCTGAGGTACAGCAGTAGGTTTCACATTTTGTTACCACCGGTTCGCCGCACATGCACCCAAACTTCTATGCACGCGCTTGGCCTCAAAAACATGGCTTAATAGGACAGCATAGAGTCGGAGCAGTTGGGCAGGCTCACCCACGAGTTCTGCTACAGGTTCGGGCAAACCAGTCCGAATCGGCTGAATACAACCTCTGCTGAGGTAGCATTGATTTGCGTTGGTTGGTGATCTGTTATGGAACTAGGATTAGGGAGATATGTTTATGCAGGTCCTCCTGAATCTCTTAGCAGCTTCCAATACTATTGGTCATAGTATTTTTCTGAACTGGCTTTTGGAAATTGGAAGTGAGGGATATGGTAGTATTGTGGTTGTGCTCCTGCTTCCAGGGATGATTCCAGTCAATGTGTAGAGGGTAAAGATCTAGCCCTAGACTCCTGATTTATGCAGGACCTCCAAACTTTGCTTTCTCTCCACTCCTGTTTATTTTCTACATACTGGTGAGATCATCAGTCAGCATGATATTAAGTACCAACGGTGTACTGCTGTAAATCTCTGACTCAGTCTGATCAAATGATGCTGTCAAAGTTAACTTTATGCCTTGAGGCTGTGGAGATAAACAGGCTTCAATTTAAGTCTAATAAGACTGAATAGCTGTGGGTTTTAAGGTTGCCCAGATGTAGCACTCCCAATTCAGAAGTTCTTTGGATTCTCAGCTCCACTCAAAATAGCAAGTGGCAACTATCTTTTGCATAAATCAGTCTTGTATGCCAAATGTGCCTGTTTTTGAATTGGAAAGTCCACAGTCACCCATGCCTTGGCCATTTTCCATGTGGACGTTTGCAATGTGCTTTACATGGGCTGCCCTTAAAAACCATTTAAACACTACAGCTGATCCCAAATGCAGCATTTTGTGTAGGGTGTACACATTATGGATATACCACAGTTTGCCTGTGTATTGCTTTGTAACTATTAAGTGAGTAGTTCTGCCTCCCAGCATACTTCCATGTGCAATTCAAGGTAGTGGTATAGGTACCTATAAACCAGGCGTCGGTTCCAGGGTGGGTTCTGACTGCTGCTACTGCTGGTTTGCTCAGGGGTGCACTGCGCAGAAGCAAAAAGCAAGATGACGGCATTATAGGCGCTGCCAATAGAACTGGAGAGTATTCCTGATACTCTCGCCCGCAGTCCGGCCCGCAGTCCGGCGGAGACTCTGGTTGCTGCCTGGAATTCGGCAGCAACGGAGTCTCTAAACCGGATTGCACCTCTACGGCTGCTCCGAGGCAATGGATCCAGGAGGGCTCCTTGGTTTACTGAGGAACTCCGGGAGATGAAGTGCCGAAAGAGACGCCTAGAGCACAAATGGAGATCCAGTAAATCCGAATCGAGCCGAGCACTTTTAACAACTTGCATCAGAGAGTACATCAGGGCAATCAGGACGTCAAAGAGAACACATATTGCCTCTCTGATTGCGTCCGCCGAGTCGCGTCCAGCCGCCCTGTTCAGGATAACCCGTTCCCTCCTAAATAGGAAGGATACGGGGGATCCTTTGCAGGGTAGGGCTGAGGATTACGTCCAATTCCTCGCGGACAAAGTTGCTCGGTTTCGGGCGGACCTGGACTCCAATTCTGCAGAACCAGCCGAGGCACTAAGGGATAATCTGGTAAGCCATCGCTGGATTGATTTTCAAGCTGTTACCCCTGAGGACGTGGACAAGGCGATGAGAGCTGTAGGTGCCTCCACAAGCGTGCTGGACAAGTGCCCCTCCTGGCTGGTTGCTAACAGCAGGGAGGTGACACGGGGCTGGATCCAGGCAGTTGTTGCCGCCTCCTTACAGGAGGGGGTCTTTTCCCCCGCATTAAAGGTGGCGGTGGTGAGACCCCTCCTGAAGAAACCATCCTTGGACCCAGCCGTACTAAACAACTATCGTCCAGTCTCCAAC